ACTCGGTTTAGACTTGAGTGCGGTGCAGCCCGGTTCTGTGGCGAGCGGGGCGGGCTGAGGGCTGGTGCTGGCCTGCCTGCTCCACGGTGGGTGCTCCGAGGTGCCCCTGAGGCCGCAAAGCGGCCTTTGGGCCTCCAGCCCTCAGGGGCACCTCGGGGAAGCTGTTGAGGCCCCTTGGGCGTGTGGTTAAAAAAACAGTCTTTCACACCAAAAGTAGACAAATTTTTGTGGAGACACAGAGCGGGGATTTGGGAAGGGGAAAGAAACAGCTGTGCCCCTACACTCCCTGTTTATTCTCAGGGCCCCCTCAGCAGCTGCAGTAGTTCACCGGTGTGTTGGCGCAGTAACCCACAGGTGTAACTTGAGAGAGAGAGTGTTGAAAATAACTGTTCGTTTTTATTGCCTTTTTTCTTTTTTCTCTCCTCAGGTAATTCTAGAAGCTATGGATATACTCTTTAGAATAAGAGGAGGCCTGGATCTTGCATTTCAGCTGGCAACTACGGACGGTGTGTCTCTAACAGTGTAATAGATTTCTTAATAAAAGGTTATTTGCATAAATGTTAATTTTAACTAGCTGTGATGTTTATTGTCTTGGCGTTTCACCAGATGTTAAGTGGTTTTTCCCAAGCCTGTAAGAATTAAGTACAAAAAATGTTTTTCTTTATCTCCATTAGTTTTCTGACAGGCTTTTTCCATCATATGTTTATTAGTTTTTAATTTCAAGTAAAGTTTAAATTGCTGGGTCTAGGTCATTTTATTTACAGATTTTTCTTACTTATGGATATGGTGTTGGGATCGCTTTTTGGGTTGAATCCAAAGTTGACCTTAAAATTCCAAGCGAATGGATAATAACTTGATGAAAATGTATTCATTCTAACAGGATTATATTAGTAATACAGTTTGGAGATTGTGATCCAGTGTTTCTAGATTGTGATCCAGTCTTTCTAGAGAAACAGAGATGAACAAGCTAACTAGTTGCTCTTGAATTTAGGCAGGATTGACTACTGCAATTCCGTGTGGAATTGGGACTAAACCATATGGCGTTAAGAGGCTCCTCTGGTCCCACATTCATACAGTAAGGCGACGTTCACTTTAGAAAGTCTGCTCAGAGCTGTCGGCAGCCATTGAGCTGTCGTGGGGTGGAGTGCAGTGCAGGAGGAGGGTGTCTGTAGCTTGTTCTGCATTATAAAAGGACGCGTCTTTACTAGAAACTCAGAATTCAGTGTTAGTGAACCTGGAAAAGGAACTCAGGCTCACGATTTCAGTTCATGATGTGGAATGGAAGTGTTGAATAGGTTGCCCTAATGCATAGCAACTTCCTGTGAATTGCATTCCCGGAGAAAAGCTATTTATTTGACTTTGTTTACAGTGTAGTGAATTTTAACCACAGCGAAGCAGAGTGATACTTGGATTGTCCAAGTGCATAGTATTCACAGCTATTAGCGTGTAAATATGGCAGACCACTCTTTTGAAGGCATTGAGTTTTTCTTTTGGAGGAGATTTAGCTAGATATGTTGGGTTTTGTTGGATTTTTCTAATAGCATAGTTTTTACAGACTTCTAGTGCCAAAGTCAACTAATAGTGGCCAAATCTAAGTTAATGCATTAAAGAA